TAAAAAATACCTAATCACATTATTAATTTATATTAATGAATGTTAAACTTATTTTCAGGATATATGGACATCGTTTCTAATATTAATGAGTAATTTAATAAAACTTCATATTCCACCAAATTCAGTGGACTAGCACTTTTAAAATCAATAAATTTTAGAGAAACATGAACAAATAATGTCTCAGACTTCTTTATTTTTCATCATATGTTACTTCATGATGAAGTTATGTAATAAAACAAAATACCATATGTTCTAAGTTATCTTAAGAAAAGATCGAGATTCCTTTCCAATAAATAATATAGTTTAGTCTCATTAATATTTTTTTAAAAAACAACAAAGCACACACTAACACATATTTATGTACGCTAAAAGTATTTTCATGGTACATGGGAAACATTGCAATTTCCAACAAATACTTTTTAAAAACTTTATATACGATTTAACTAGTTTACTAACCCCTTTAAAAATTTTATTTTTCTAGAGAAATATGGACACCTAAGGTCATAAACATCCGTAATATTAATACTATGTCAATGAATGATGCATCTATTAAAACAAATTTTTTTTTTAACTTATCTCGAAATATGTGGGTTAACCCCTACGAAACAATTTGATTTTTTCGATAAATACCAACTTTACTATTTAGCCTTTTTAGTGTTATTTGTTTAATTCCTAACCACACTCAAAATTTATATATATGTATGCTAAACATATTTCATGGTACATGTATATCGTTCCTAGTCTTTTCAATGAGTAATTTATTTAAATTTCATATACCACTTAATAAGTGGATTAACCCCTACAAAAACTCTATTTTCAGGAGAAACATAAACATCTAAGGTCTTAACCCTCTTTATTATCCATACTATGTCACTGCAAGATGCAACAATTCAATGAAAAAATAATACCATGTTTTTTAATTTATCGTAAAATATGTGGGTTAACCCCTACAAAAAGATTGATTTTCGAACGAATAATTTTTTAAAACTTGATGTACGATCTAATTAGTGTACTAACCCCTACAAAATTTCTATTTTCTAGAGAAATGTGAACACCTAAGGTCTCAAATATCTTTTATCTTCATACTATGCCAGTGAATGATACATATATGAATTAAAACCAAAATTCTATAGTTTTTCATTTATCCTGAAATATGTGGGTTAACCCCTACGAAACAATTTGAATTTTTTGATAAATACTATCTGTAATAATTAGCCTCTTTAGTGTTGTTTTTTTTTTTAATTCCTAACCACACTCAAAATTTATATATATGTATAATAAACATATATTCATGGTACATGAATGTCGTTTCTATTTTTTCAATGAGTATTTATTTAAACTTTGTATACCCACTTTCTCTGCTGCGAAGACTTGGAACTACCTCCGATCGGCAAAGAGTAAAGTACCTTGGTACCGTCTGGTATGGTTTCCTCAGGCCATCCCAAGACAATCTTTCATGGTCTGGCTTGCACTTAAGGACAGGTTATCTACTGGAGCTCGAATGCGGAGTTGGGGTATAGAACAGGGCTGCGTATACTGTGGTGAGAGAAATGAGGACAGAGATCACCTATTTTTTGCTTGTCCTTACACTTTTACAGTCTGGATGAACCTTGCAGCACGGTTGTTGGGTGAAAGGATCACACCGGACTGGGAAGACACTGTTAACTCTCTGCTTGGACCGACCAGAAACAAGTTAGACACAATCCTCCTAAGACTTTTGTTTCAGACCTCCATCTATGTGCTCTGGAAGGAAAGGAATAAACGAAGACATGGCGGAGAGTGTGCTTCAGTGGACACGACAACTCGAGCAATTTGGAAATTGGTCAAGAATCGCATTAGCTCCCTCAGGTACCGGGGAAATCACAAGCTGGAAGGTCTGCTGCGAAGATGGTTCTCGGTTTATACTTTTTAGAAATTCATATTCTTTTATTCTTTACACTCTAGCATAGTAGTCACCCCACTGTAAATTCTTCAACTTTTGATCAATAAATTTGAAATTTCATAAAAAAAAATAAAAAAAAAAAGATCGAGATTCCTTTCCAATAAATAATATATACTAAAGTATAGCCTCATTAATAATTTTTAAAAATAACTAAGCACACACTTATGCGTATTTGTGTACGCTAAAAGTATTTTTATGGTACAGAGAAACATTGAAAATTTCCAACGAATACTTTTAAAAAACTTTATATACGATTTAATTAGTGTACTAACCCCTATTAAATTTCTATTTTTCTAGAGAAATATGAATACCTAAGGTCTTAAAAATCTTTAATCGTCACACTATGCTAGTGAATGATGCATCTATGAATTAAAACAAAAAAATTACAAATTTTTTAATTTATCTTGAAATATGTGGATTAACCCATAGAAAAAAATTAATTTTTGATAAATATATTTATAATATTCAGCCTCTTTATTGTTGTTTTTTTAATTCCTAACCACTCTCAAAATTTATATATATATATGTATTCTAAACATATTTTCATGGTACATGAATATCGTTTCTATTTTTTCAATGAGTATTTATTTAAACTTCATATACCACCTAATAAGTGGATTATCCCCCATAAAAACTCTATTTTCAGGACAAACAAAAACATCTAAGGTCTTAAACCTCTTTATCATCCATACTATATCACTGCATGATGCATCATTTCATTAAAATAAAAATATCATATTTTTTAATTTATCTTGAAATATGTGGGTTAACCCCTACAAAAAGATCGAATTTTCCTATAAATGTTATATATATGCCTCTTTAGTTTAGTTTAAAAATACTTAACCACATTTAAAATTTATATTAATGTACTAAACTTATGTTCATGGCACATGCGCATCAGTTTAAAATTTAATTGAGAAATTTAATAAAACTCTTTATACCACCAAAGTCAATGAAGTAAACCCTATAAAATATTTATTTTCTAGAAATATTTGGACACTAAGGTATCAAAACTCTTTGATGTTCATCATATATCAGTGTTGGACGCAGTTATGCATAGATACAAAAATTTCATATTTTTTAATTTATCTTGAAATTGTGGGTGTTACCATATGAAAAGATCGAGTTTTCCGATAAATGATATTTTTAATGTTTAAGCTCTTTAATGTTAACTAAAAAATACCTAATCACATTATATGGACATCATTTTTAATATTTTAATGAGTAATTTAATATAATATATTATATGAGCATTGTGGAACTTTTTGGTATCATTTATCTATGCTAAGGGGTGCCAGAAGTGTATCGTGTACTTTTTGAGGTATTTGGGATGAATCCAGATGCCGATGATTGACAGCCTCGAGCTAGAAGACAGCTTGAGGACGCAGATTATGTTTCTGATGAATTCTAAGGCAAAAAGCTAGGCTGGCAAGATATTGCTACTTACAAGGTAATCAATCAAGCTAACAACAGTTAAGAATTTGATCATAGTTGTAAACACACCTTTGTTTTCTAGCCTCCTGAAGATGTTTTATTTGCACAACCGAGGCTGTTCAGAACTTGTGCACCACTAGGAATACATCGTTTCAGAGGGAATATTAGGGATTTCGACAGCAAACCAAAAGTGATGCATGCACTAGGTTACCCTTTACCGATGATTGATAAAACTTGGACTCGCTTTACAGTCAAAAGAGACATTCACTTTTGTCACGAAACTATGTACCCTCCTTTTCTGACCGTGTTTCACTTCCCTCAGCTCTGTTTCTTGCGTCCTTCAAATCACAAGTTTGAACACCCTCGGTTTTGTTTTGAGAGATTGGAATACGTAGGCCAGAAGATATATAGGTGAGGAACTCATCTTAAATTCTGATGACAACTATTATAAATTCTTCAGTTTTTGCAATTATCAATTTCCATTAAATTTTAACTAATAGTAGTTTAATAAACTCTAACCTTTGATCAAAAAAAGTAATTTAATAAACTCTGTTATGTTTTTGAAGTTTACGATTTGTGCATATCAAACATAAAATATCTATCCTTGTGCAACATTTTGTTTTCCTAAAATACCTATTTTAGTGAAACGGGAGAGAGTATCACTTAACTTTTTTTTCTTATGATCTTACAGGACATAGATTTGGCGTAACGTTTGTTAAAGAAGCACGTGACGCACCAGGTAATGGCTGCAAAGAAACATCAACGTTTGTTAATGAACAAGTCCTAATCATAACCGGAGAACTAGAAACCCGGCAACAACCGCCGTTCAACAAGCCATTCACGGCCTAGCATACACCATAACACCATCTACGGAAAGCTTGTTGTTAGGCGGCTCTATCGAATCCAAATCTTCTTAGTATTACATGATTCCTCCATTATGTTTCTATCTTTTGTTTCATGTGGTCCAAGAGTCGCACCCATTACCAAAATAACTATAGGGCCTTAAATTAACAATGGGTCAATAGCCTCTCACAGATACACAGTTACAAAGGTGAGGAATACATGTGCTTACGTGGTCGCTTGCTTACCTTGGCCTTCCACGTAGCACGAACCCTGCAGTTTCTGGTTCTTAACCTAATTGTTATTCGGTATATAAATAATCCAATGATATGAAAATATTGATTTTATATAGGGGATTTTACTGTAGTTATATATTCATCTGGCTCCTGAATTATACTCCAGGTGTGTGTAGTGCAATATACCGTCCCCACGTGCCAAATATTTTATCAGGATTTGCATAAATGACTTATGAAATTGACGTTAAGTTAGTTGAACCGAAAATAAATATATGTGGTTTATAGACGTTACATTTTGCAGTCTTTATGCATGCCAAATTTAAGAATTAACTAATTATATCATTTTAAATGACCGATATTATTATTGTTGATATATCAATCTACCGCCTGATAATCAGCATGCACATTTTTTAAGAAAAATAACAACATATACATGCATCTGATTTATAACGCATAAAAATAATCATCGTGTTTTATAAATTGAAACTTAACAAACGCTTTAGAACTAATTTTCTAAAGGTAGAAAAGATTTTCTTGCGTCTAGAGAGATGGGTGTAGTAGAGGAAGCTCACAACGTGAAGGTGATTGGCTCCGGAAATAAAGGGACGATCGTTTTAGGTCACGGGTTCGGTACGGACCAGTCAGTATGGAGACACCTAGTTCCACATCTGGTCGACGATTACCGCATCGTGCTCTACGACAACATGGGAGCCGGTACGACCAATCCGGAATATTTTGACTTTGATCGTTACTCAACTCTCGAAGGTTTCGCCTTTGATTTGATTGCAATCTTAGAAGATCTTCAAATCGAGTCTTGTATCTTTGTTGGTCACTCTCTATCCGCCATGGTGGGTGTCTTGGCCTCTCTTAACCGACCTGACATCTTCTCCAAAATTGTCATGATTTCTGCTTCCCCTCGGTACGTTTCTTTTTTATTACACCTTCTTCATCTCTGTTTCGATATAACTTCGACAAAAGTACATCTCTGTTCCTTCTCTTGTCTTAATGACCCTATTTCTCAAAAATAATTATTGTTAAAAAATCGACATTTTTTTTATTCCGAAAAATGATTGCCAACTATATGTTAAACATCTTAACGAAAATAATGTATCGTAAACTACACAAACTATATAGCTGATAATATTCATGAATTATTATGTGGTATGTTGTTATCACCATTAACATCATTCCAATAGATCAAAAACATGTTAGAATCAAAAGTCATCAACTTTTAATGAAGTTTGAACATAATTTCACTTTTTGTCAGTTATATAGCATTTCACTTGAATCTTTATCTATATATTTATTTAATTTGTTTATCATTTGTATGTTTATTATGGTCTGTTTCGAAGAGTTTGGTCAGGACGTACCAGTCCTGGGCATGCATGCCCAAGTGAAATATGCTAAATGAGTGAAATATTCGCCACAGAAGAAAACTATATAGACATAGGTTCACAAAAAAAAATTTTAAACCTTCAAAAAAAAATTTTACATAGAAATAGTCACAAGTTATATAGCATTTCACTTGAATTTTTATCTATATATTTATTTTGTTTACTGATCATTTGTATGTTATTATGGTCCGTTTCGAAGAGTTTGGTTGTCAGATTTTCATCTACTGTTGCTAGATTCTAAATCTGATACAATTTTTTAACTATCAGAATGATACTGATATTGTTAACAACAAAACACACAACACATAATATAGTTGATGGATTTTATCATGTGAATCTTATAACTTGTGTAGTTTCGATACATTAGTTTTGTCTAGATGTGTTGCCATGTGGTAGCTAGTTTATTTTCGTGTAATTGATAATCAATTTTTCTTTTATTATTTTGGTGCGTTTTAGATTCGTGAACGATGTTGATTACAAAGGTGGATTCGAGCAAGAAGACCTAAACCAGCTTTTTGAAGCGATGCGAAGCAACTATAAAGCGTGGTGCTTAGGTTTCGCTCCATTGGTGGTAGGTGGAGACTTAGACTCAGTAGCCGTTCAAGAATTCAGCAGGACGCTCTTCAACATGCGTCCAGACATAGCTCTCTGCGTGGCTCATACAATTTTCCATAGCGACATGAGACAAATCTTACCTTTTGTCTCTGTCCCTTGTCACATCGTCCAAAGCCTTAATGATTTAGCTGTACCGGTCGCTGTATCCGAGTATCTTCACACCAATCTCGGGTCTGAATCCGTCGTCGAGGTTATGTCTTCAGATGGTCATCTACCTCAGCTTAGCTCGCCGGAATCTGTTATTCCCGTTATCCTCCGTCACATCCGCTACGACATTTCTGTAAATTAAGCTTAGCGAAATTAAATGTATGATGTGATATGTCTGGGTAGTGAGTATATCGTCTCGTTGTCGTTTGGTTCTGTTTCGTTTATCTTGGATTCCTTTTTTTTGTGTGTGTTTCCTTTTTTTTGTGTGTGTGTGTATCTTGGATTCTTTATTTGATCAGTTTGTTATTGTTCTTATCTTTGTGTTAATGAAAAGTCTTGGTCTCTTGTGTCCAGCTTTGTCTCGACCTCATTATTTCATGTGCTCATATAAATTTAGCAATAGCAATGTTCGTGACTGGTGGTCTATAGTGGATTATTTGACATGTCGTCGTTGAGTTATTAATTATTATGCGTGTGAACTGTGAACCGAAGTGGAAATTCCGAAATTTTATTTGTTTTTCAGTTCCATGTCAACGTTTCAAGACCTTAAATTGTTGAGAATATGCAGCATTATTGGAGACTTTTTTGTGGTTAACAACAAAAGTTCTAGATTTATATCCATAAGTTCCTTTCGGGTTTCAAGTTAGGACATCTTTAACTATCACCTTAGAGCACCCTCAACCAAGGTGCTCAAGGGGGTGCTTATTGCATAGATCCTCACAAAACACATTAGCACCAATTCTTCTGCATCCAAAATAAGCAGCTGTGTTTTGTCAGTGCTTGCAGTGTACGCGAACCCCATGGACACGTGGTGGTCTGCGATTAATCCGTTTCTTTTTTTCTTAATCAGACAAAACTTAAAAAAAAAAAACACCCTATTATAAGGTGCTGAGTTGATCATGCTCTTAGTTTCGAAAGAGAACACTTTTAAAAATAAAAGGATAAAGGTGCATAACTCTAACCATTATCCTCAAATTTATTTTTATGCGAATTTTAAATTTATTTTTAAATCTTCAATCTTATTATTTTTATTAACTACAATCACTATTTTTTTATAAACATATGAAACGTGCTATTCGAAAGATACTAAAAACATGGTTATGTGATTGAGATTGTTTTTGTCTCGTAGGTTGTAATCAGGGTTCTATTTTCTTTTATCAAGATGGCTTAAACATAAGATCTTTTTATTTAGTATGATATTTGTAATTTAACTAAAAAGTACTAAAAATAAAATATTTGAATAAAATACGCATTAAATGAGAGAACTCAATAAAATACGCATAGAATAAGAGATTCGAAAGAGTAGATACAAAGGATGCCGACCAGTGTTTTACTCATTGACAATTTGTTATGTTATTCTCTAGAGTTCAAGTTTGTATCAAACATTTTTCCATTTCGGATATAAATTTCATCAAACGAAATTTGTAACCTTTTTAATATTGTTATAAACTTGTTTGTGGATCAAATATCCATTTCTACATTCAACATGAATTACACTGCATGTGTGTGTTGCTATTTACCGTCCCCAAATCGAAATAACTTGCACATATTTTTGATAAATGCTTATGAGATTTGACCTGGTACTTGTACTTCTTCTTTTAACCGAATGTCTCGTGTGCAACGGGACTGGTGTGCAATTAAGTTTATATAGTTAAAATGTGTGTAACTAGAATGAATATGAAACAGTTATTATATGATATTTTTAGTGTGGAAATAAGTCGTTTATTTCCACACTAGAATTACGTATAGTAACAGTTCCACATAATCTTTCTTGCTCATCCTAATTACACATATATTAGGTATATGAACCTATTTATTTCCATTTTCAAAAATCGAAACCTGAAACCACATATACGAAAATTTAACTTGGTTTTATTGGTTTAGAATCTAAACCAATATCAAACTAGTTAAACTGATCAAATCATTTGGTATCAAACTGAAATTAAAACCTGATCCAACATGATATTCAAATAATATTTCGATCCAAATCTTTAATATGACGTTGGGTCATGTTCTATTTGGATATCAGATTGTATCAGATTTTAATTTCAGTACAATATCAACTTATTTGATATCAAATTAGATTCTAAACCAGTAAAATAAATTAAATATTTGTTTGTGTGGTTTCAGATTTCGATCTTTGAAAATAGAGGTTAATAGGTTTATATATTTAAAATACATGCCCTTAAAATATATGTAATTATGACGATCATGAAATTTTTTATGAAATTATTAATAAATGATAATTTTGGTAAAAAAATATGTCGTTTACCCAAAAATATTTCTATTAGTTGAGCAAAAACTAAAACTACGTGGCTTATAGATGATACATTTATTGGCCCTTGTACGTGCATGACAAATTTTAAATTCGACTAATATCTCGTTTTAAATGATTGATATTATTAGTTTATAACTATATAGACATAAAATGAGCATGTACAAATTTTCTTATACAAAAAAGAGATGCATCTGATATATTAGTATAAAATTAATACGCGTATATTATAAAGTGTGCTGCACAAAAATAACAAGTGCTTCAAAATGAAGTTACTTAACGTAGGAGGATTGTCTAATAGCATATAAAAATATAATGTTCGAATATGATCCAAATATAAAGCAAAAATTCAGAAAAAATTAAGAAAAAAAAATAAGATTTAAAAATATATAGATAAATTATAATAAAATCTTAAAAAAATAGATATATATTACTAAATTGAAATTTATAATTTTTTTTTAAAAAAAAAATTAGATATATTACTAAGTTAGAACTTATTATTTTAAAAGAAACATTAAACATAATTATTCTTTTAAAATTTATTTATTAAATTATTAAATATACTATCAATATTTTTTTAAACAAGATCAATAAATAACTTGAAACGGCCCTCTCTAAGGTAGATAGAATTTTCTTGCGTAGAGAGAGAGAGAGAGGGAGATGGGGGGTGTAGTAGAGGAAGCTCACAACGTGAAGGTGATTGGATCAGGAAATCAAGGGACCATCGTATTAGGTCACGGGTTCGGCACGGACCAATCAGTATGGAAACACTTAGTGCCACATCTGGTCGATGATTACCGCCTAGTGCTCTACGACAACATGGGAGCCGGTACGACCAACCCGGAATATTTCGACTTCGACCGTTACTCAACTCTCGAAGGTTTCGCCTTTGATTTGATTGCAATCTTAGAAGATCTTCAAATCGAGTCTTGTATCTTTGTTGGTCACTCTGTTTCCGCCATGGTTGGTGTCTTGGCCTCTCTTAGCCGACCTGACCTCTTCTCTAAAATCGTCATGATTTCTGCTTCCCCACGGTATGTTTCAAAGAAAAATTAAAATTATTACAGCTTCTTCATCTCTGTTTCGGACATAAGTTCGACAAAAGTACATCCATGTTCCTTATCTTGTCTGAATTATCTTTATTTCTCAAAAAATTCATTAAACTATTAAAGTTTTTTTTTTACACAAAAAGTATTGCAGTTTTTTTTTGTTAGTTTAATTGATTGTTTTGTATTTCTTTTGGTGCGTTTTAGATACATCAACGATGTTGACTACCAAGGTGGATTCGAGCAAGAAGACCTAAACCAGCTTTTTGAAGCGATGCAAAGCAACTATAAAGCGTGGTGCTTAGGTTTCGCTCCATTGGTGGTAGGTGGAGACTTAGACTCACTAGCCGTTCAAGAATTCAGCAGGACGCTTTTCAACATGCGTCCGGACATAGCACTCTGCGTGGCTCAGACCATTTTCCATAGCGACATGAGACAAATCTTACCTTTTATATCTGTCCCTTGTCACATCGTCCAAAGCCTTAAAGATTTAGCCGTACCGGTCGCTGTATCCGAGTATCTTCACACCAATATTGGTTCGGAATCAGTGGTCGAGGTTATGTCTTCAGATGGTCATCTTCCTCAGCTTAGCTCGCCGGATTCTGTTATTCCCGTTCTCCTCCGTCACATCCGTAACGATATTGCTGTCTGATGGATGATGAGAGGGTGTTAATTACGTTTAGCGAAGTTAAATGTATGATGTGATATGTGTGGCTAGTGAGTATATCGTTTCGTTTGTCGTTTGGTACTGATTCGTTTGTCTTGGATTCTATATTTGGTCGGTTTGTTGTTGTTCTTATCTTTGTTTAAACTAAAAAGTCTTGGTCTCTTGTGTCCAGCTTTGCTCGACCTCGTTATTTGTTGTACTCATATAAATGACGTAATAGCGACGTTCGTGATTGATGGTCCATAGTGAATTATTTGAAGTGCCGTACGTGGAGCTATTCTATATGTGAACATAGTTGAATTTCGGAAGATATTTATCGGGTTTTCAGTTTCATGTCAAAGTTTCAATACCTAAAATGATTAGAACATGCATAATTAGGGACCAGCATTGAGTTTACCACTTATAATTGAAACGAAACTCCCTTTCTTTTAATGTTTGTACGAGACTCGAGGCGTACGAGATCTATAAATTGATGTGATTTGCTTTCTAATGTGGGTTTTAGATGATTTTAAGCTAATAAAAAAATACTGTGTTTTTTTAATTAAACTTTTCTACACTTACCTAAAATTATGAAATTTGAATCATTATCTCTTTACTTAATAAACTTTACCAAAACATTATAAATCACTAAACTTTTAAAAATTTCTAATCTAAAATATTTACAATAGCATTAATTTTAAACATTTATAAAATAAAGAAAAATCAAGGGTTCTCTGTTTGAAAATAATGAATTTATCGATTTAATATAAATCTCTCAAACGTCCAATAAATAATACTTCTAATTAGAAAACAATTATATAAACCGAACCGATAAGATTGTCCAATCTAGTTCTGGTTCTTGGTTTACAGTCTATGATAACTGGGCTGGTCCATAGATGTATAGAAACTTGGAAAGTCAGGCGAAACTTCACATATGGGCTTTTTACCAAAACAGAAAACTTTACACGTGGGCCTCCCAACTCATTTCACCAGGCACCACCAGGTCCACCGTTCACTGGTGCACAGTTTTTAAAATAGTATTTTCTGGTAATTATCCAATAATTTGGATAAGCCTATGATTGATGGCTTTGTTTCAGCCTGTTTAGTGCTTGTATTTTATGGGCCTGTGATTCGGACTTCTAGCTGCTAATATGGAGAGTTCACTGATAGTATCCCAAAAGGGTTACACATAGTGCTGGGCATTCGGGTTTTCGGTTCGGGTCGGTTCAGATTATTCGGTTTTTGGGTTATTCGGGTTGGGGTATTTAGGAACTGGAAATTTTTCGGATCGGATCAGTTCGGGTAGTGTTGGGTTCGGGTCGGGTTTCTTTTTTTTTATAAAATCCAAAGTGAATCGAACTATTTCTAATTCGGGTTTAGTTCATGTTTAAATCCAAAAAACAAAACAAAAAGAACCGAAAAACCGAGCTAAACCTGGAAAATATTCGGATAATTCGGGTTTTTGGATATTTTATTTAAAATTACATTTTATATATATTAAAACTAAAAGTAATTAATATTTTTATTATATTTACAATATTCGGATACCCGTTCGGTTTTTGATTCGGTTTCGGTTTGGTTTCGGTTTTTGGATTTATAGAAATAGGAACCGTTCGGGTTTTTGTAATTTTTGGTCCGGTTTCGGTGTCGGTTTTTTTAGTTGGGGTTTCGCATAAAGTGCCAATGACTAGTTACACATATCAAAGTCTTTAAGAAAGTCAACGAACAACCGCTCAGTTGGTTTTTCTCGACCACCGACACGACACGACACGCCGCTCTCGAAGTTTCCATCGTCTTTACTTTTGCAACACTTTTTTTGTTGTTAAAGGTTTTGGAGCACATGTAATTATATAATGATAACGTCAATATTAAGAATAGCAAGACCGAACGTGTCTTGTCTTAACCTAGAGCTGGAAAAACAAATTAGAGAAAACGTTGTGAATATTTTTTTTTAATATTCCAAATTAGAGTCATTGGAACACGTATGGAACAAAGTGGGGGGGGGGGGGAGAAGAAAGAACTCATAATCTTTTTTATTTTGGTAAAAAGAACTCATAATCTTAACTTCTAAGCAAATACATTTCGTCATTGTTTCGACGGTTTGGTTCTGGACTATTGAGTACTACGACTACTCATGGTGGATGATGAGAACTGAAAAAAGTTCTTGAAAGAGAGTGAATGAAAATGTTAGTCACTCATGGTGAGCTGTAACATGTTAATAATAATGCCAAAGAAAATTTAAAAGTTAGTAAAGAAATATTTTCGACCAGAGAAATGAAGAAGATAGACCATTACAAAAGTGCTATATTAGTGAAGTTTCGTTGATTGCGCAGGAAATCTACAAAATTACAGCTAAGGTAGATATGTATCCGTGTGGGCACCAATCCAAATTCAATCAATCTACCAACCAGTTGTCGTTCATTCTTGTATAATCCTTCCAAACAAAGATTCGTTTCCTTCTACGCTCATATTATTTTGCATTCGAATTTAAATATATTTTTCATTATTGACATTATAATTCATTCTACTATAATAAGCCCACATGTGATGATTTTTCCATATGATACTAATTCAATGCACCTAAATGTTTTTCCTCTCAATAAAAATGTACCTTAAAATTCATTGAACTATAATAATATCATATCTTTTCTTTTTTGAAAAAAATATAACAATATCATATCTTTCCACACCATACTAATTCAATGCATCTCACACCCAATCTCAGCTACAATAATGCATCTAAACTAATCGAATGCGTTCACAAGTTTAATCTCAGCTACAATGTATTTTCTTTTTGCTATTTTCTAAATTTATAGTTTAAAGAAACAAACAAAATTGATATTTGGAAATTTCTAAACTATCATAGAATCTATATCACAAATGTAGTGATAACCAGACAATTATAAAATAGATGAGCAGGATTGGTAATCAACTTCAAATTCAACTAATATAATCACTTCATTTTGACTACTACTTGCACATAAATTCATGCAGTAACAAACCAGATAAAAACAATAGAAATGTTGTTAAAATGTTATTATCAAAACAAAGAAAGAAAACAATAATAATAAATAAATAAAAAAGCTAGTGAACCCTACATTTAATTGATACAGGATATCATGTTCTGTTCCCAACGGCTACATCTGGCTGTGACCTATATTTTAATCAACGGTCTAGATTTCTCCTCATTGTCTATATATTTAAACACACACAATTATCTTTCACTAACACAACAATATTGGTTAAAAATCCTCACTCATACATTCTGCTCTCTCCCTATCTTTTAATCAATACTCCAAAAAAAAACTATGGAACGTAACTTCCTATTAACAGTTGCATTGCTCTGCATTGTCGTCGCCGGCGTCGGTGGCCAATCTCCTGCCTCCTCCCCAACTAAATCTCCCGCCGCTCCTGCTCCAACCACTTCCCAAGCCAACCCTCCCGCCGCTACTCCTCCCTCCTCTCCCATGGCTAAAACGCCAGCTTCTGCACCCGTGGAAGCACCAAAGTCTCCGGCTCCTGTAGTATCATCTCCACCGCCAGCTCCTGTTCCTGAGAGCTCTCCTCCCTCTCCTTCACCAAAGGCTTCTGCTCCAGTGAGCTCTCCACCGGCTCCAACACCTGAAGCAGTTACTCCTCCTGCTCCTGTAGCCGCTCCAACCGCTGATGTACCGGCTCCGGCTCCAAAAAAGCATAAGAAGTCGAAGAAGCATCAAGCACCTGCCCCGGCACCTGAACTTGACAGCCCACCTGCACCACCGACAGAAGCTCCCGGCCCTAGCTCCGACGCAAACTCTCCCGGTCCAGCCACATCTGCCGACGATCAGGTACATTGTCTTTAAACTAAATTCAAGAACCAAAGTTCGAGTATCTACAATGTTGGCTAACGGTTTAGATAATAACAAAGAACACTTGGTTTAGAATCTACTGTTAGATAATAATTTATTTTAAAATTTATTTCAACAATTTTAGAGCATTTAAAATATTAAAACATTTATTTCAATTTTTGTTAATAGTTGTTTTGTATTTTGTATGGAATTATTAATGCAGAGCGGAGCAGAGAGCACAAGTTTGTTGCGGATTGTAGCGGTGGGAGCGGCTGCAACCGCATGGGCCGTTCTCATTATGGCTTTTTAAGTTATTTTTATTTATCTTTTCGCCTCTTAATTCTTTAGTTTATTTTCTTTTTGACCCTACTATTGTCTCTTTCATTTCACATTTGAGTAATGAGTATTATTATTTCATTGATTATATCGTTTGTTTTTACTTTTATTTGTGTGGGAATAATACTTTTTATTTACTGGAAATAATAGTTGTTATTTACTGAAAATAAAATTCAGATCTGTCAGTGATGTATCGGATGATAGTGTTACTGGTTATGACATATTGATTGTTCTTGTTTTAGCAGACAATGGTCTTTTGTGATGGGTCCTATTTCTTCATTGAAAAAAGACACATACATACACAGTTGGATTCAAGATTAAAAAATATTGAATTATGATTTGTGAACTTGTCCTTTCAGTCTCCGAAATAATGCTTACGTGAACCTCTATGAAAAACAAGCAAACCAGTACCGTGGATATAACCCTACCAATTACTGTTGAGTTCATAAATGTTACTATGGGCGTATACTAGTTTTTTTTTCAGGAGCGTTTATACTATTTAATAAAACAGTAAGTGTTAGTTTTATTTGTTTTCATATGTTTAACATGTGGTAGATGAAAACTGGATTCCGAAAAATGTATATTGTATTTTACCAACGTTACAAACAGTTTGCCTGCTACTGGTAGTTATGTGGACGCAGGGACAGATCTAGGAAAGGAAGGTGTCGGTTTTTGACTTCTTTCACTTGCCTCCATTAACGTTTTAATAAATGTAAATCTGTTAAGCATATTTCGAATACTTGAAGAGATTAAATGTTTTTTTTTTCACTTAAGAGATTAACTGTTAATTTCCTTTTATTGTTCCCATTAACTTAATTAATTGATCAGAGATGCCTCCACCCATTTAAGTTTTTTTTCTGTCAAGTTCTTATTTGCATATATGTATAAACGCCCGGCTAGGTTTACATTCACACAAAGAAAATTTCATTGAATACGCTAATGTTTTGGTTAGTTTCTTCTGATAGACAAATTATTAAGCCAATTAATCTCAAATTTACAATTACTTACCTCTTTAAACTTTCAAAATGGATTAACAGTTGAGGTACAATTTATGAGAAAATGAAATTGTCAGCTACTAAGTTGGATCTTATGTTTTATTTTAAGGTATAGTCGGTAATATAAATTTGATCCATACCTCATACCTGTCAAGTAATTAACTTGAGTGGCCAAGTTGCTATAAATGAATGTCTTACATTTATTACTGGACAGGTTGTTATAATATACAATGTTGTTTTGTTGTTGTATATATCTAAGTAGTTAGATTCTTATTTTTGTCTTCTTTCAAATTTTTTTTTTTTTTAAAACATCTGATAAAATCTTAAGCAGAGTAGAAGCAATATATAAAGGACATAGTTAAATTCAAATAATAGTTGCTAAAAAAGGGTTAAATTCAGATAATAAGTATGGCTTGTTAGTCTCTAGCCAAATACAAAAAGATTAAGCAATAGTCTAGCTGCTTTTCTCAGAATATTTCAAATTGAATTATAAAGTAATATGTAAAATCTGCAATCTTCATGTACATTTTACTGTGATAAGAAACTCATTTCAACATTTTCTTCAACCAAACAAACTGCAGGATATCTATAAAACTATCATCTAACAGAAATATTGAAGTCCTCGCATAACATAGTTCTATAGTATATATCAGCTAAGGAGGAAATTTCGTATAAAAGAAAACTGTTATGTTTTATTTGTTTCCCAATGCTAACTTACAAAAAGAGGAGGATGAGGAGTACAAGTTATTCCCCGTGCTTTTATTGAAAGTCCAATTTGAAGAAATGAACTTCGTAGAGAGTACGCAAATGCAAATATTAAGCAAAGATAATTTTAAAGACTTTAAAAACATATAAAAATTGACTAAGAGAACTCCTTTTAAGAAAATGATTTATGTTGTTAACTTCTTGTTGTTAAGTTTTTCATTGGATAAATTAGTTACACGGTTGGAAGGTTTTGTTGAATTATCTGAACAAAGAAAGCTTCATTTTGAAATTAAGTAAGGTGTTATATAATTCTGATAAGTAATTAATATAAATAGAAAATGATCTAGTTATTATCAATCACAATATTGACCTCTATAATCCAAAAGAAGATGTATAAATCAAAGGCTAAAGGATCGATTTCTTGTAATTGTTGGCCTTAGGAAGCGCAAGTTATACTTAAACCAAGGTAGTGTGTATGAGATTTCAAGATTCTTGGCTTTGCAAAGGCTCAAACCCACCAAGCCGAGTATCTGATTCTTCCATATCAATACAAATATGCATAAATATACAATTTGAACTTTTTTTCTAAAACACTAATGGGAGGTTCAATGGGCTTTTTTGGAAAAGTTTATGCAGTTTTCTTTAACTAGCAGCTAACAACTTTATTATATTTTAATAACTTTCCTTTAATTTCTGAGGTGAGAAAATGATTTTATTATATATTTAATAATATTTGGTAGGAGTACCACCGACGAAGATGATGAATATGGTGATAGGTTCACTCTGCAAACAGTTCACCCAAAAAGCTATGAACAACTTTGCTGTTTTATAGACATTTTTAAGTAAAGAATCGTCCTCCAAAGTCCTAATCAAATTATAGTAGTTCTTTATGAACAGTTAGTACGTATGATAAATGGTCACAACGTATGATAAATGGTCACAGACTCTGGAATTAATCTTACTTTTTGTACACTCTTACATAACTATTTTGATCTATCGTGAGTGTAGCAACTTCAGCTCGGCCTTACGAGGCCGACACTTCTATTTTCAGACCTCGGACGAAGCAAAGGCAAGAAGTGCTTTCCTCGTCCAAAGTCACACAAATAAATATATAAATTATTTATCTAAAAGTTTAGCATAATGTTGAATACTTAGGCTTTGTTTCACTCAGTGGAAGGAAGTAGAGACGAAGAAGAAAAGAAAAAAAGTGTTCATAGAGTTGATTTCAAAGAAAGTAAAGCCAAGTAAACTCGATGACGTCACTATGATCACCGGAATAGTATCTACACTGCGGCTATGGCAGCTAAGAGAGCAGGAGAAAATGTTCCTCAGTTAAAATTACAAGGAGAAATGTATTTGAAGTAATGTTCTCCTTGTGTCTGCCTCACAAGGAGAAATGTATTTGAAGTAATGTTTTTAGCATTCTTTTTTAGTCATAAATACATTAAAAATACATCATGAGTTTGAGTAGATTTGATGATGTGTTTTAATACGAACAATAAAAAATGCAGCAACTCTATATATTATATATCACTCAGCACAAGTCACGGAATCAGCTTCTTGATGATCACTGAAAGCTGTTTCTTCACTCCCACGTCAGAAACCGTTCTACTAAAGGAGCTCGAGTACACCATCATTGCATTCTCAAACTTCATTCTCATTCTTGTCATTGTTAAAACCACTGCATTCCAATGTATGAACTTCATCATTGACATCTCTTTCTTACTAGAAGCCTCACCACCAAATAAACTCTCTGATATCTCTAGTATGCCTTTAGATAATACATTGGAGCTTTCGTCAAATTTCAAAGCACTTTATATATATTGACTGTTTTTTATATATTAAAGTTAAAAATAATATATATAGGTATATAAATCTCTTTCGGATATATTCGGTATCCGAAATATTTCGGTTCAGGTCGGGTTTGGTTTCGGTTCTTTAAATACTAAAATTTTAAACCCATTCAAATATTGAATTAATTTCGATTCGGATATGATACTATTTTTTCGAATTGGGTTCGGTTTTTTTGGATCTGGTTTTTTGCCAGTCCTAGGAGTATGCTTCTATCTCTAACTAATGTCATTCTATAGAATTTTCCAAATTTCGTGAAGACCACAACTTTGACTATTATGAAGATCGAATCGAAATTGAAGTCTCCCCTCATCATAAATCCACTTGTGTTAACAGTAATGTGACAACGCAAGAAACAAGAGTTCGGTCAACGGAGTCAGAACATTCAAACTAAAATCAAATTTCGCTTCTGTTCTGTCTTTTCCAGTCTATTTATTTATTTATTAATCCTCACAAAATTTTCAACCAAACCAAAAAAATCTAAGCAAATAATGGAAACCAAAGCCCTAATAATCTCAGCTCTCTTCATAATCCTCACTCTCATATTCTTGATCAGAAAACTCAAGCCACACCCTAACCTCCCTCCCTCTCCACCATGGTCCTTCCCCGTGATCGGTCACCTCCGCCTCCTCAAACCACCTATCCACCGAACTTTCCTCTCCATATCTCAATCTCTCGGCAACGCCCCAATCTTCTCCCTCCGCCTCGGTAACAGACTAGTTTTCGTGAACTCATCACACTCCATCGCCGAGGAGTGCTTTACCAAGAACGATGTCGTCCTAGCTAACCGTCCAAAGTTCATCCTCGCCAAGCACGTAGCGTATGACTACACAACCATGATCGCAGCTTCCTATGGAGACCACTGGCGTAACCTACGCCGTATCGGCTCCCTCGAGATATTCTCAAATCATAGGCTCAACGGCTTCTTGTCTATTCGAAAGGACGAGATCCGGCGGTTGATATTACGTCTCTCCAGAGACTTTTCACAAGTGAGTTTAGTTTGGTTTACGATTAGTTCTTTAAGTGTTTGGTTCGGTTCTGATCAAAGTGTTAGAAATTTGCTAAATGTTTGGTTCTGTTTAGGGTTTGGTTCTGTTTAGGATTCAGTTTGTTTGGTTCTGTTTAGGGTTTTCTAATAATTTCGAATAATTTGAATAAACATATTTGGGAGTCTAAATTGTTTGATTTAATATCAATAAACTTAGATTATTTCATATAATTGAAATAAAAATATTTAAATTTGGATATTTTAATATCTTTAAGTGTTTGGTTCGTTTCTTATCAAAGTGTTAGAAACTTGCTTAATGTTTGGTTCTGTTTAGGGTTTGGTTCTGTTTAGGGTTTTCTAATAATTTCGATGTTCGAATAAAAATATTTGGGAGTCTAAATTGTTTGATTTAATATCGATAAACTTAGATTATTTCATACAATTCAAATAAAAATATTTAAATTTGGATATTTTAATATCTTATAATATTTAAATTTTTGGAAACATAATTTTTGGTTTAGTGTGCGCTCTGAATATAGTTTCATCAATGCGTTATTGGGTTGTGTCATTGATTTAACATAAGATATATAATAAATATGTAGGAATTTGCAAAGGTGGAGATGAAGTCAATGTTATCAGACTTAACATTCAACAACATCATCAGAATGGTAGCTGGAAAACGTTACTACGGAGACGGTGTTGAAGAGGATCCAGAGGCTAAACGAGTCAGGCAGCTTATTGCGGATGTGGTGGCTCTAGCTGGCGCAGGAAACGCTGTTGATTACTTACCGTTCTTGCGTTGGGTTTCAGATTACGAGAACCGTGCCAAGAAGATTGCGAGTAGGCTGGACGAGTTCTTGCAAGGGCTGGTCGATGAGAAACGACAAGCTAAAGAGAAGGGTAACACGATGGTCGATCATTTGCTTTCTCTGCAAGATTCGCAACCTGATTACTTCACTGATCGCATCATTAAAGGCAACATGCTTGTAAGTATCCGTGAACTTGCTTGGAAAAAGTATTGTTAAAAAATCACTAGACGGTAACTAAAATTTTTGTAGAATACTACCATCTAGGTAGATTGTTCAAAACTAACTAGGCGGTAGGTAGACTATAAATAACTAGTGTCTTAGTGAATTAGTTGGGTTAGCGTTAACTAATTATTTATTTATCTATTAAATATTTTATATTTACATTACATATTTTTAATATTTTAGTGAATATTAGAACGTTACTTTGGTAAAATATTAAAATGGTGTGGTTGACTCGATTCGTTACACCACTTTGTCACATTTTGTTTTGGTATGGAACTTGTAAATTAAGGCTTGTGTATGTGTGTAATTTGCAGGCCCTAATACTAGCCGGGACTGATACATCAGCGGTGACATTAGAATGGGCATTGTCAAACCTCTTGAACCATCCAGAGGTATTGAACAAGGCGAGAGATGAGATTGATAGAAAGGTGGGTTTAGACAGGCTTATAGACGAGTCAGACATCTCGAATCTGCCTTACCTCCAAAACATTGTGTCCGAAACGTTACGCTTGTACCCTGCGGTCCCCATGCTGCTTCCTCACGTGGCCTCGGAAGATTGTAAAGTAAGTGGATACGATATGCCTCGTGGGACGATACTGTTGACCAACGCGTGGGCTATACACAGAGATCCTCAGCTGTGGGAGGATCCCTTGAGCTTCAAGCCGGAGAGGTTTGAGAAAGAAGGAGAGTCTCAGAAGCTAATGGCGTTTGGGCTGGGAAGAAGGGCGTGTCCTGGTTCAGGACTGGCTCATCGGCTAGTAAACCTGACACTTGGGTCATTGATTCAGTGTTTGGAATGGGAGAGGATTGGAGAAGAGAAAGTGGATATGAGTGAAAAGCAAGGTGGTACAATGCCTAAAGACAAGCCTCTGGAAGCCATGTGCAGAGCACGTGCCTCTGTTGGTAAATTCTTCCACGAGGGAGCTTGAGTTTTAGGACATTTTGTAATGATATCCTTTTTTATAACAATGAACTAGTTTTGATTCGCGCATTGACGCATATTTTTGTTCTTAATAATTATATGTTTTTAAAGTTTGAAAATGCATAACTTAAATTGTTATATTTATCATATTATAGACTTGTATGTTATTCAGATTTGATATTGGTGTATCTTGTTCAACGTGATTAAACTTTATTTATAAATTATGAGAATGTGTTTTTTTGTGTTTTTATTTTAATTTATTTGGTAAAGTGAAGAGTAAAGTATTAGAGGTATAAGTACACTTGTCTTTTTTCTTAAATTAAATTATAATATTTTATTTTAAAGTTGAACATAATTTTCAATTTTTATTAAGATTTTTAAAAACAAATACATTATTTCGAAAAACAAAACAATAATGAAACCGATTTAACAAAAAGACATTCAAAAATAAGAAGATATTTTATATTAAAAATAAAAAAAATAAAAAAATAAAAACATATCTTAAAAAAAGTTATTTAACAAACCTAATTTATGTTATTAAATTAGACCATTTTATGATTTTAAAGTTGGTACATTATAGTTTACAATTATGTACGGGATATAAGCTATAATTTATAATCACATAATGGATATAAGCCTATAATTATCAATAAATACCTTTTTCAATGATCCAAGCCTAATGTTATTTTTTCGGAAATAACATAAACACTTTTTCCATCTACCGACTTTTCTCATTCCATCGATTCCATCGATAGTTCTCTGTTCTTATTTTTTTCTCTTCAGCCGACAGAAAATTAAGAGCATCTAAGGTATGGAAAATTAAAAGCATTCAATCAGGGACATATATTTGTTAAAGAATTTTGCGTAATTGTGTAAATATAACCTATAACTGAATAGTCATTTATGGATAAAATCTTTAAAAGAAGAACTTATCTATATAAACAATATATTTACCGATTTTTAGTTGACAATGACTACTGATTTTCGGCAAATTTTGAAATTTACAATCATAATCAGTTATTTATCGATATATATATATATATATATATATATGAATTTATCCAAATAAATTATTCTATTACCAAAATAAAATTCACTATGGTGTATGAAATTTATCAATGACTATACCGATATCTCAGATTCATATTTTTCCAGTTATGATTAAATTTTATAGTCTTTTATGAATCGACATTAATTACCAATCAAATTTTATCTAAGTGATTTTTTTTCAAATAAATATTATTAAATTAAATCAAACATTTGAACCAAAATTTATTCCACATATTTAAGCTGTTATAAAAATATCTAAAATTCTATCAATTATTAGATTTTGTACAAAACTTTATAAAAGTATTATAAAATGTAGCACAAAGATATGAAAACAACGTTAGTTAGTACTTAAAAAAATCTCAAATCAAAATAAAGTATATTTGATACTCTCTTTTTTTATCAAAAAAGTATATTTGATACTGTATTAATGCTTTTTCAAAAAAAAATATATTATAAAATACACCTCAAAGATATGAAAATAACATTAGTTAATACTTAATAGAGTCTCAAATAATAAATGAAGTACATAAAAAACTTAAAAAAATGCACAACGTATCATCAGTTATCTTAGTAAAAATAAAAGCAAATGTAACATCAGTTTGTCCAGATTTTTTTCTACTGGTGGCACAAACACTGAAAAAATAATTGTTAACTTCTTTTCGTCTAACGCAATATTTCATATTTGTTAAGCGGGAATATTTTTTGGCATGATGTATTAATTACAATTATTACTTTACTTAATTGAACGTTATCTTAATTGCATTAATATAGAAATTAGTGTAGAAAAAGTGTAAAACTACAGTGTTTTGATTAGTGGCATATGATTGTAATTATTGAGGATGATTCATGGTAATTTTTTATTTGTACTTCAGTTTTAATATTTTAGATAAATATCGACTGTAAATTTCCGATAATTTTTTTTTTGATAACTGTTAACGTTTTATGGTGTGTTCAAATTCAATCTAAGATCCTCAAAGTAACAGTAATAAAAATTTCTCAAATCATGCACTACCATGTTAATTTTTATAATGGTATAGTCTTATCAACTCGATGGATACATATCAAATTAGAGCTTTAAAAAAACATAATCAGTTTAGAGACGGGTCTGTTTAAATATAATACCAATGTCAATTTGGCATTATTTAATTACCGACTTCTGAATGGGTGTGATGTGTTTATTTAACCCATTGAAAGATGTACATTATAATCTATAACAGCATTAAAACACCCCAACATTGAGAAAAAGAAGAAGATAACAACTCGAAATGGTATTTAATTTGCGGTTGTGGAGGTGACTAGATCCTTATCCTGATGCTTGACAAGCAGATAACAACATTATCAAAGTCTCTTCATCATCATCATCATCATCATGTGTTCTAATCACACTGAAAATTGTTGAAACCATTGACTGCTCATAAGAGTTGGTTTCCAAGATCCTGTTGCACTTTTGGATCCCTCACCATCCTCCCAATCTTCCGTTCAAAAGTCCATGTGTTCCCGTTAACATTCATTCCGTTTGCTCCCGTGGACTGATCCATCCCACCATAAAACCTACCAGCAGTTCCAATACTTGTGTTGCTGTCGTTGTTCACTTGAGCGTTCTATTTCTTTTCAATTTGCTCATATTTACATTATATCTCCCCTCATGTCGTTCCAAAAATCACATGGCCACTAACCATGCTTCCTCCTGATATTTAGGGAATCTTAGGTGATTTATGAAAGATTTGAAACAAAAAAAATGTATATAAATTTTGGGGCCTAAATTTTTTTTTTTTGGAGTTTTTGTCTATGTATTTTTTCACAATGTTTGGAGCATGTTTCGTTATGCTTGATTCATGACTGGTCTTGCGACTATGCATGTATCTAAGAAATATGACGACTAATGTATGATTATATAACATCAACTAGTATTAGAATATCATTAGTTCGATAATTGTATGATTAATATTATATGATTCATTGCAACGTGCATATCTCAGGAACAATATTTTAAATAATCCTCGTTCTAATACATATTTCTCGAATAATGCATGCATTACCATGTAAATTTTATAATAGTACAGTCTTCTCAATTAAATATTGTAGCAATAGCATATACTGATACTAATACAACTATACGATAAAAGTTATTTTGAAATAGAATTATGCATATTATTATTAAAAAAAAAATTTGAATTGAACTTTGAGAGCATAATTTACTGTTAAACAAAAAGCCCTCAAGACAACTTTGAATCTGCAGGTTTTTATATCCAAATAATACAACTATGAAAGGTACTTCTAAATAAATTTTGCATTGGACGATTTTGAACGTAACTTAATATTGTCAAACAAAAAAACCCTCAAGACGAATTATATATATGGACTACAAACTTGTCAAAAGAAGAACAAACTAAAAATGGAGCTTACTCACATTTTAATCCTCTCTTCTCTCTTTCTACTACTTATCTCCATCAGATTCTTGCTCACAAGATCCAAACCTAAACTAAAACTTCCACCGTCTCCTGCCATCTCCTTACCGGTTCTCGGCCACCTCCACCTCTTCAAGACACCACTCCACCGATGGTTCCTTTCCCTCTCCAAATCCATAGGAAATGCTCCAATCTTCCACTTACGTCTAGGAAACCGCCTTGTTTGTGTCATCACCACACGTTCCATGGCCGAAGAATGTTTCACCAAGAACGACGTTGTTTTCGCTGACCGTCCTAGTTTCATCGCGGCCAAACACGTCGGCTACAACACCACCGATATATTTTGGGTATCTTACGGCGATCACTGGAGGAATCTCCGCCGCATCGCCGCCTTAGAGTTATTCTCGACTCAGAGACTTAATTCCTTTTTGTATATCCGTAAAGACGAGATCAGACGGCTCATCTCACGTCTTTCTCGAGACTCCTTAAACGTACGTACTATGGCCTCTTCTTCACCACAAATATAATAACTAATAATAAATGTCAAGTTATATGATATTTTTAAAATAAAGATAAAAATATAGTTACTTTAAAAAAAAAAATTAAACGTTGTTAATACCATCAACAAAATCATAAATCCTAAATAAATAATAGAAAACTAAATCCTAAATTATTATCACTCTTAAATCTTTGGATAAATTCTAAACCATTGGTTAAATTCTAAATCTTTAGGAAAATCCTAAGTCATAGAATATAAATTCTATGATTTTTTGACCAGAAACCTCTTAAATCATTAAAAAAAAAACTTTAAATCTTAATCACTAAACCTATCTTTAAATAAATTCTAAATCCTTGGATAAATCATAAATCCTATGATGTATGATTTATGGTTTTGATGATAACATTTAAGTTTTATTGTTTAGGGTTTGCTGATGGTGTTAACAACATTAATTTTTTTTTATTTGGTAATTGATGTTGTTTATGATTATTATTTATCTTTTTCATAAATAGATTATGAGTTGGCAAATTTTAATTGGCAATTAGACTAGTTATGGTGAATCTCTAGGGGGTAAACCCAAAATAAATCATCTTTTTATATAGAACTTAAAATAGAGTAAATAAAAAATATTATTTATCCTATTATTTTCATTTATTCTCTAATTTTAGAAAAAATGAATTTTTAAAAAAAAAATTAAAATATTATACAGTATGTACACACTATAAATGAGCCTAAATTTTTCCGGCAAAAAAAGGATAAAAACTTAGCTCTTACTCCTCATACACTGATAATATTTACTATTTAGATTCCAGTTCAAAACAAATGTAACTATTAATTTTGTTGCGTGTTTAAACAAGTTGTAACATAAAAGCATAATATAGTATCTTTTAGTTTCTTTCTCACCGTTCGCTTATACAGGGCTTTGTGGAGGTTGAGATGAAACCACTTATAACCAATTTGACATCTAACAACATCATCAGAATGGTGGCCGGGAAGCGCTACTACGGTGAGGAAACCCAAGAAGCTAAATCCGTGAGGCAACTTGTGGCGGAGGTGGTGAATGCCGCCGGTGCTGGGAACCCAGCTGATTATCTTTCGGTTGTACGTTGGTTCACCACTTTTGAAAAACGAATGAAGAACTTGGGGAAGCGGTGTGATGCGTTTTTGCAGAGAATTGTTGACGAGAAACGTGCAGATAAAGAAAAAGGTGAAAGTATGATGGATCGCTTGCTTTCTCTCCAAGAAACCCAACCTGATTACTATACGGATGACATCATCAAAGGACTCATACTCGTAAGTATCAATCAGTGAGAAATACTATAAAATAACATGAAAACACGTCTTATCTCAAAAGTGAAAAAAAAAAAAATCTGTAAATGGTATTAATTAAAATTTGTTGGAATTTATCGTTAAAATTTAGAGTTTTATATTTGTCAGATAGAGTTAACGTAATGGATTTGTTTTGAAGTAATTTAGTCATATTACTTTTAAATTAATGATATATATATATATATATTTTTTTTAATTGGGAAAATATCCAAAATAACATATTTCTAAGTTTATGTCACAAAATTAACACTCGAAAACTAAAATGACCAAAATAACATTTTATCTTTTGAAATTTTTAAAATTAATGTCTAAATTAATTTATTATTGGAATATAGATGTATCTTTATCTCTTTTGATAAAACATTAAGTGCTATTTTGGTCATTTTTTTCTTAAGTGTTATATTTGTGACAAAAAAAAATTTCAGTGTTATTTTAGTCATTTTTTTTTAATTTCTCTCCACAATTTTTGTGCTATATAAGAGATTTGTCCTAAGCAAATTATATATAAAATGTATTACATAAGTTTAATAACCAATGTACGCAGAGTATGACAGTTGGAGGGACGGATACCTCAGGGACGACATTAGAATGGGCGATGTCAAACCTGTTGAACCATCCAGAAATACTTAAAAAGGCCAGAATCGAAATAGATGACAAAATTGGTTTTGACCGGTTAGTAGAGGAACCAGATATTGTGAATCTCCCTTATCTCCAAAGCATTTTGTCGGAAACACTACGTTTGTATCCTGTGGTTCCGCTACTACTACCTCATTTGTCATCGAGTGATTGTAAAGTAGCAGGATACGATATCCCACGTGGTACGATGTTGTTGACTAACGTGTGGGCTATGCACAGAGATCCAACGTTATGGGAGGATCCGGAGATGTTTAAGCCAGAAAGATTTGAAAAAGAAGGAGAGGCTGAGAAGCTATTGCCATTTGGGATGGGACGAAGAGCTTGTCCTGGAGCCGTACTTTCTCAACGGTTAGTGAGCCTGGTTGTTGCAAGTTTGATTCAGTGTTTTGAGTGGGAAAGGGTTGGGGAGGAACTTGTGGACATGACCGAAGACAAAGGAATCACGTTGCCTAAATTAGTGCCATTGAGAGCCATGTGCAAAGCACGTCCCATTGTTGGTAAAATGATGTCCTAAAAATTTATCTTTTTTTTTTCTCTTTAACAGCTTTCGTTGTGTTCTAAATAAATGTCTATCTACCATCTTTTTTGTTTCAAAAAAATGTTACTTTACATTTTCAATGTAATTTTTTACATCTAATCTCTTTATTACCCTTTTAAGTAACTAATAAATATTTTTAAAATCATTTTTATTTAAATAATTATATACTAAATAAAGATATATTAGTATATTTATTCATTTCTAAATTTATGCGAAATATGTCTAAGGACATTTATTTTAAAATGGAGGGAGCATATGTTTAATTGACAACATTGTAATAGAAGTATCATCATTCAGAAGAAAAGGAAGACAGCTTTTATGTGAATATTTTAGTGTAACTTATATAAACTTGCGTAATATCCGCTTAACGGTCGCTAGTCAGGCATCAGATTTTTTTTTTTATCAACTAGTCAGGTATCAATTTAATATAGTGAATCTCAAGGTATCACAAATTTAAAATGTTTCTAGCAAACCTTCAATAAATTATAATGCATGTGTAATTCCAGATATTATATGTGAACTTACATCTGGACACCATGTGCCAACCAACTCCCACACACTCTACAGCATACAATATATAATAGATATACAAGGAAACAAAAACAAGCATTTAACATGAGAAGGACTATCTTAAAATATTATTCCTCTCAATAATTCTTTTTTCTCCATTATGTTATTCACAAAATCGAAGCTAAAACAAAACTTGCCGCCGTCTCCAGGAAACTCATTGCCGGTGCTCAGACACCTCCGCCTGATGAAGCGGCCATTTCATCGGAAAATTCTTTCTATCTCAATATCCCTCAGAAATGTTCCAACCTTCCACCTCTGTTATATTTTTGTCCATGAGACTCTCTATGTGCTTGTATACGTAAAAGTGAGATCCGACGGTATCACGTCTTTGCCGAGAGTCCTTAACACGTGCAAGCCTTGTTAGAACTATATATTACTAATATAATCCTCAGTAACTTAGTACTAACTACTTTTTTATATTTATATATATTACTAATACTAAGATGAGATTTTCAATTCGACTATATTTATATATATTTATTTTATATTTTCAAGAAAATAAATAGCTATTGTTTTTAGTGTTCCTACAGTTTTTGACAGTGAGATTCGACGTTCGTTCACTCGTTTCATAAGTTCATCACCCGCTGAGTGTCCGTAAATTTTAGAGGCTCGGATATTCTGTTTGCTGATTACAATCAGTGTATATTTTTCTGTTTTAATATTAGTTATATGATACTGTAAATAACTTTGCAAAGTTACCATTTTAACTATTTTAATTCAAACATATTTAATTCTGATGTTTTCTATAGACAAATAATCAAAAATAAGCATATTTTAATATTATAAATAGTAAAAGTCAATCTTATTAAGTTTTATATAGAATAATCTCTTTTTCATTTTAAATGTCTTTGTAAACTTTAAAACCTATTTTATTATAATTGTCGTTTGAAATTTAGTGCAAATGTTTGATAGTTTTTTTTTCATTTTATCCTTTTTTAGTTTATTAATTAACAAAAATAAATAAAATAATATATTAATCAAGGGTGTATTAGAAAATTTAATGGTTTTCTTAATACTAATAAAACGAAATGAAAAGAGTATTATATATCATATATTAGATGTTAAAATTTTATGGCTATGTAAACATAATGCATGTTACATATGACCTCCAATAAATACTCTATCCGCTTTAAAATGTGTATACTTTAGTATTTTTGTATTTATATTAATAAATATATTAATTTTAATATTAAATACATAATTTTGTAATATATAATGTTATAATTCTAAACCAAGATAATTTTAAAAATATAATTATATTTTTCTATTTAAATTTATCCATTATTAGTTAGTAAAAATGCTTTAAAAATATGCATCTTTATAAAACTGAGGAAGTATGGGTTACAAGATGTGAGGTATCGTTATCTTTACTTTATATAAATAAAGAAAATATTAAAATATACTTACATATTTGTATATGTCTTTCTTGGTTGGTGCCAAGGGATGACCACACCACGTTTGTCATCTTCAAGAATACAAGAGAAGGAAAATATTGGGTTGTGATCTACTACTGATAACAAAATTCTGAAACTAATAAAACTAGTTGAAATAATACTAAAATACATAGAAGTTGGAACACAAAGTCTACTTCACATGTCGAATGTATAGTATTCATATTATAAAATCATATTTATGTTTACTGTATCATACAAAAAGTAAATAATTTTGTTACAAGTTTATAAAATCATAAGTTCCATAGATATGGAAATCATAACAATCTACTCACTAGGTAGTAAGCAGAATATACGCCACGCTCTCTAATGAATCTATATTATATTTATAATACAATAATAATTACATATTATATATGGTTTTTCTTGGCTAACGCGAATGGATGACCACACCACGTTTCATTTTCAAGAATCAAGACAACAAATATAAAAGAAAGACTAGGAGAAAAGAACAACCAAAGATACCCGAAAATGGACGTCATCCAAATTTTGATCCTCTCTTCTCTCTTTCTCTTCATCTCCACCAGCTTCTTGCTCACAAGATCCAACCGGAAACTAAAACTTCCACCGTCTCCTGCCATCTCATTACCGGTGCTCGGCCACCTCCACCTCCTCAAGACACCACTCCACCGATGGTTCCTTTCCCTCTCCAAATCCATAGGAAATGCTCCAATCTTCCACCTACGCCTAGGAAACCGTCTTGTTTATGTCATCACCTCACGTTCCATAGCCGAAGAATGTTTCACTGACAACGACGTTGTTCTCGCGAACCGTCCTAAGTTCATCGTGAGCAAACACGTGGGCTATGACGCCACTCATTTACTCTCGGCATCTTACGGCGATCACTGGAGGAATCTCCGCCGCATCGCCGCCGTAGAGCTACTCTCGACTCAAAGACTTAATGCGTTTTTGTATATCCGAAAGGACGAGATCCGACGGCTCATCTCACGACTTTCTCGAGACTCTTTACACGTACGACCTCCTCTTTTTTATATTACTTTTATCCTTCACTATTAATGTCTTTGTTTTTTTGTGAGAAAACCTCGTAACGTGGCTAACACTACGATTAACATCAACTTTAGATAATATAATACATATTTTTATACCACGATTTTCAGCCAAAATTATTTCTTATATCCTAGAGATTCCAGCCAAAAAAAAGTTTAGTGTTTCCAGGCTTGCGTTGTCCGTATATATAAATACGAGTTATTTAAATTCTCAACACTATATAATACACATGCCACCTCCAATAAATAAGTAGCTTGCCGACAAATAAAAGAAAATGATTCCAGTTAATAGACTATCACCACAAAATAAAATAATTCTACTGACGCTTGTAAGAACTAAATGAGTGGCATGACTATATTTATTTGTTGTCATCCTAAGAAGAAAAAAGTGTTTTGAATTTGGAATCCTAATAGTTATGTTTTAACAATTCAATACAGTATTACACTTTTGTATTCTTAGGCCAAGAATACAAAAGTGTTTTGAATTTGGAATCCGTCATCTATAAGAAAATCGATCAACTTACTGTTGACAAATATGCCATAACAAATTTTTAAATGATCTAAAACAAAATAAATATATGAACTAATTATTCAAATGCAATATTATGCAATACGAACATATAAATATATTATCAAAAACTGTTGGATTCCAAGTACTTATTAGAATTATATTGATGTTACTAGCAGCATAACTTAAATAGTTCATGAATGTTACTGTGATATTCATACATTTCGTAGAGTTTTATTGTTTTATTTTTGTCTGTATGGCTATCAGTTATTGGTGCTATTAGCAATTATCTATTTCAAGGATAAAACTTAATTCTTAGCTCTATATTTAGATTTCAGTTCAAAATAACCCTTTTTGTTAAATTGTTTTTAAACAAGATAACGCAAACATATGTATATGCTACTCCCTCCGTTTCATTTTAATTGTCATTCTACGTTTTTGCACACAGATTAAAGAAACATTTAATTTTACATATTTTCAAGAAAAAAACACAACTAACTATACACCTAACCACTTTTCAACCAATAGAAAAATATAATATCATATAAAACTAATAAATTTTGTCTCGAAACTTGAAAATGACACTTATTTTGAAACGAAATTTTTTTCTTCAGAATGACAATTAATTCGAAACGGAGGGAGTACCATTTTATCTTTTAGCTTCCTAGTAACGTTTACTTCTACTTGTAATGGTACTCACAGGGATTTGTGGAGGTGGAGATGAAATCATTATTAGGAAATTTGGCATCCAACAACATCATCAGGATGCTGGCCGGGAAGCGATACTACGGTGAAGAAAACGACGAAGCTAAATCCGTGAGAGAACTTGTGGCCGAGGTGGTGACCAGCTCTGGTGCTGGGAACCCAGCTGATTATCTTTCGGTTGTGCGTTGGTTCACCCCTTATGAAAAGCAAATCAAGAACTTGGGGAATAGGTTTGATGCATTTTTACAGAATATTGTCGACAATAAACGTGCAGATAGAGAAGTAGGTCAAACTATGATCGATCGCTTGCTTTCTCTCCAAGAAACCCAACCGGATTACTACACGGATGACATCATCAAAGGACTCATACTCGTAAGTATACTTTAACCAATAAGCAAACTATATATATTATACAAAATGTTTGATAATAATCAATATAACGCAGAGTCTAACAATTGGAGGGACAGATACCACAGCGGTGACACTAGAATGGGCTGTGTCAAATCTGTTGAACCATCCAGAAGTACTTAAAAAGGCAAGAAATGAAATTGATGAAAAAATCGGTTTAGACCGGTTAGTAGACGAACCAAACATTGTGAACCTCCCTTATCTCCAAAACATTGTGTCGGAAACACTACGCTTGTATCCTGCAGTTCCACTACTACTACCTCATGTGTCCTCGGATGATTGTAAAGTGGCGGGATATGATGTCCCACGTGGTACGATGGTTTTGACTAACGTGTGGGCCATGCAAAGAGATCCAACGTTATGGGAAGATCCGGAGATGTTCAAGCCAGAACGATTTGAAAAAGAAGGAGAGGCTGATAAACTATTGCCATTTGGGATGGGACGAAGAGCTTGTCCTGGAGCTGGACTTGCTCAACGGTTAGTGAGTCTGGTTCTTGCAACTTTGGTTCAGTGTTTTGAGTGGGAAAGGGTTGGTGATGAACTTGTGGACATGGCCGAAGACAAAGGAGCCACATTGCCTAAACTAGTGCCGTTGAGAGCCATGTGCAAAGCACGTCCCATTGTTGGTAAACTGATATAATGTTTATCTTAAACTTCATTGTTGTTCTGTTTTTAAAATATGTTTATGTTTAAATAACAACTTTTACGCCAATATTTTGCTGTAACTTTTACAATCTTGCTTAATATGGGTTATTATTAGATAACTTTTTAGGGTTGTACATTATTAATATCAATAAAACAAATTATGATATATTAAAACTATTTCACATATAAAATAATAACTTTATATTTAAATTTATAAATATCATCTTGATTTGTATATACAAAATCTCATTTATCTTATAAAATAGAAGCCATGACTTCTTTCATGTGTGATTTTTTTATTTGCAATGAAAATGAATATTTTTTTAAAAAAACGTTAACAAAATCTTAAAAATATCTTCTTACAATCTTTTTAAAACTTATATCCGAGAATAATTAATGTAAATTATAAATATCATAAAAATTAATTAGAGACTAACATTATATAACATAATTATATTTTCATGATAATAACAATTTAAATTGTTTAATTAGAAAAAAAACATTTTAGAAAGATTTTAAAAAGATATAGTTAGAGAGGAATATTCATTTCTATTTCAAGTATAAAATAAAAATATTATAGCTATAATATGTCGAATGATAAATAATAACCATAAAATTTATCAAATGACAAATGAGTTATACTATAGTAAAATTTTGCTTAAATTTTAATACTTAGTGTTAATGAGCAAAAAGATCATATTAAAATAAAAGGCATACCCGTTCTTAAATTTAGTTCTTTCAAAAATAAAATAATACTAGATTTTGACCCGCGCAACCGCGCGGGTGTTTGTTTTCGTTTATAGTTAGTTATATAAAAATTTTGTTTTCACTTACAAATTGGTATATATTATAATAATCACATATTATGTATAATAATCAAACATAATAATATTATATAATACATGTTTTTATCAAATAGATTGTTTCAAATTTTCTATATTATACATGTTTTTGAAACATGTGTTTATTTCTTCTTCTATATTTTATTGTTTGTTAGATTAGTATTTCATTTTTAGATAAATTAATATAAACAGAGTTTGATTAAATATTAGTATACTTTAATTTGTAAAGATAATATAAACATCGAAGAAATTTTTGCTAAAAATTAAACTTCTAGCTTCATAAATTAATATTATAAAGAATTTTATTAAAAATATTTTTTTAAACAATTTCTTTTTTTGAAAAAACAATATAATTTTAAAAATTTACATCGAAATAAATTTATCTAGTATATATAGCGTGTAAAATTTGTTAGGGTATACAAATATTCTATAATACGAATATGTGATTTTTGTTAATATATTGTGGATGCATTTAATTATTATTGACATATTTCCTTATAAAAATAGAAGATTCCTAAACTTATATTCTATTGACATATTTTGCGTGATTAAGTTGGAAGGTGTGAGACAATTTACCAAAACGAAATTGTTAAGCGTATATTTGTTACTATAGATACGATTTTTCATAAGATATAATAATGATAAGATTATTAGAGAGTTAATGTAACATGACTTTCTAGTAATAGTCCATTTCTTTAAAAAAATCACACATGAATCAAGTCATGACTTCTGTTTTAATATATAAGATTCACACGGATTTAAATTCTAGTTCACTACTAAATTAGTATCAAAAATGGGCCGGCAGATACAGAGTTCGGAAGGTACTACTAACTGGTCACCATTGACAATTCGATTAATTGGACCAATACTTTCTTGTAGTTGGTAGGTCTAGCTCGTCTTTGCTCTACTCGACGGTAAGGAAAGGTTCAAAAGAAAACTCCTTTTGATACAGTATAAAGTTCAAATCAACTGCAACACTCTAAGAAACATGCATTGAATTGCGTTCAATTATTTAAACAAAATACTCAAAAATAACGATAAAACTTTTTATTGCAAAAGTAGCTTTAAAATGTTAAAATAATCAAAAAATATTTCATTAAAAACATTAAAAAAAACATTTGTACTCATAAAATTAACTAATACAGATTTAATATCTAATTTTTTGAGGAGGTGGATTTAGAATTTAAAGATAAGAGTTAAGAATTTAGAAGTTACGATATAAAAATTAAAATAATTTTTGGAAATAGAAGTTGAAATTTTGAAAAAAAGCAAAAACCAAAATTTCGAAAAGAAAATTTATAGTATTTTTTTGGAAATTAATTATATATATTAATAGAAAGTGCACATTTCTGTTTTACATCTTAATAAATTTACTTTAGTCATTTTCTTCTAATACTCTTTGTGTATTTTTAAGACATCAAAATATTTTTAGACTATTTAGAAAATTTGTTCTTATTTAAATTATAACCGGAAGCCTAGAAACTATTTTCTCTCTCATTTTTGTTCTCTCTCTTCCATCTTTTACAGGAAAGAAAGAAAATGATTTTGTCCCATATTAATATTTCTATAAATTAATAAAATTTTAAATATTATCATTTGGTAGAGGTTCTATATATAGTATAACCTATTTAGATTAATATTCTATAAATTAATATAAATTAAAATATTCTATGAAACAATATAATTTTACATTAAGTTTTTGATTTAACTAATATATTGATAAATTAATAGTTGCCATAAATTAATAAAAAAATATAATTTTAATGTAATTTCAACATTATTAATTTATAGAGATTTTGATAAATTAATAGTTGCCATAAATTAATAAAAAAATATAATTTTAATGTAATTTCAACATTATTAATTTATAGAGATTTGACTGTATAGTGCATGCTAATTGTGCGTTTTTGTCTCGAGCTATCATTATCAGAAATCTCTCTATCAAGTAGCCGTTAACCACTATATTTATTATTTTGCTCTAACCATGTAGGGCTAAATATAAATGATCGTTTCTAAAATATCAGAAATAAAATTCCTACAAACATTATTTAAACATATTTCAAGATCTCAAAGTACACATATCTGTTTCAATCTCCCACACACAAACAAAGACTAATCCAAAACAAAAGAGAAGATGGACTTCACCCCAATTTTACTTGTATCTTTTCTGCTTATCTTGATCTCAATCAAGTTCTTGTTCAAAAACTCAACTCGGAAACTGAATCTTCCTCCTTCTCCTGCTTACTCTTTACCGTTCATAGGCCACCTCCATCTCCTCAAGCACCCTGTCCACAGAACATTCCTCTCTCTCTCTCAATCACTCGGAGACACTCCTATCATCCACCTCCGCCTAGGAAACCGCCTCGTCTACGTCATCTCCTCGCATTCTTTAGCGGAAGAATGCTTCACAAGAAACGATATAGTTCTTGCTAACCGTCCCGAGCTTATCATCGGGAAACAGGTTACCTACAACTCCACCATCGTGATTGCAGCTCCTTACGGCGACCACTGGAGGAATCTCCGCCGCATCGGCGCCGTTGAGATATTCTCTACTCATAGGGTCAATACCTTCGCGTCTATCCGTAAAGATGAGATCCGACGGCTCATTACACACCTCTCGAGAAACTCCTTACACGTAAGATATTTATATTTATTAACTATTATCTCCGTTTATAAATGCTTTAGTATGTATTTTCTATACTTTGTTTAAAAAAAAAGTATTTTCTATATTTTTTGGTGTATAACAATAACAAATTTAAAAATATTAACTAAATTTATTAAAGTATTATTAATTTATCTTTATTGATAATTAATAATCATAAAAAATACGTTTAAAGTATAATTTAATATTTTAAATATGTATAAACAAATTAGAACTTAGGAATATTTTTTGTGTTCTTGGAATGACAGTAGAGGAAAGCATGTTTTACGGGGCTCGCCGTTTTCTTTATAGACATCGTAATATAATTTTGAGCAAATTTGTTCAATATACCAAAAGAAACTCAATATTAGGGATATGCCATGGTTTTAGGGGAAAAATAGTAAGAGGGAGGAAGAGAGATAAAAGAGAAAGAGGGTAGATAGTTAATTTAGGGGTTTAGTTTGTATATGGGGTGCAAATTCTCATAATGTAACCCTAGTTTACATGTTAATCTTGAAATGATCTACACTTAACTAAAGAAAAGTAGTACTATATACATTATACATATCTTCTTCTTTTTTTGAAACAATAAAGAAATATCTTTTTATTTGTTATTTGTGTACTGTATAGTAACAAAAAAAAGAGAAGTTAATTTTTGAAAAAGTGAATAGAGAAAGATAGGAAGAGAAAGGAGGAAAGAGAGTGTGATTTTAGTTAGTGAGTGAATTTTAGATTTTTTTAGTGTTAGTGGGACATATTTCCCATCTTTTTATATCTCATTAACCTGGTCAAATATGATTGGTATTTGCTTCACAGGGATTTGTTGAAGTGGAGATGAAATCATTATTAACCAACTTGACTTTCAACAATGTTATCATGATGGTAGCCGGAAAACGATATTACGGTGAAGGCACAGAAGACAACGATGAGGCCAGAGTGGTAAGGCAACTCGTATCGGAGGTTGTGGCGGGTGCTGGTGCTGGAAACCTAGCTGACTATCTTCCCATCATACGTTGGGTCACAAATTTTGAAAAACGGGCCAAAATTTTGGGGAAACAGTTCGATGGATTCTTGCAAAGACTTGTCGATGAGAAACGTGCAGATAAAGAAAGGGGTCAAACTTTGATCGATCACTTGCTTTCCCTCCAAGAAATCCAACCTGACTATTATACTGATGTCATCATCAAAGGAATAATACTCGTAAGTACATATTAACTAATTATAATATATAGTTACAGTAAAACCTCTATAAATTAATAATGTTAGGATTACACCAAAATTTTATTTTTTTATTAATTTAGAGAGATATTAATTTATCGATATACTAATCGAACCAAAAATTCAATTTGGTACTATAAAATTATATTATTTTATAGAGATATTTAGTGTATATTAATTTATCGAGTATTAATTTATAGAGGTTCTACTATATGTGTATATAATGTGAGTTTATTAACTCTTAACCAGACTATGATTCTTGCGGGGACTGAAACGACAGCAGTAACTCTAGAATGGGCATTGTCGAATTTGTTGAACCATCCAGAGATACTTAAGAAAGCAAGAGCAGAAATAGATGATAAAATCGGTTCAGACCGGTTACTTGAAGAATCAGACATTGAGAATCTCCCTTATCTCCAGTACATCGTGTCTGAAACACTTCGTTTGTACCCTTCGGTTCCTCTACTAATCCCACATTTATCATCAGATGATTGTAAAGTTGCGGGATACCATATGCCACGTGGCACCATTTTGTTAACAAACGTATGGGCTATGCATAGAGACCCTCGTATATGGGAAGAGGCAGAGAAGTTCAAGCCGGAGAGATTTGAGAAAAAAGGAGAGGCTCAGAAGTTAATGCCGTTTGGGATGGGACGAAGAGCTTGTCCAGGAGCCGAGCTTGGGAAGCGGCTAGTGAGTTTGGCTCTTGGGTGTTTGATTCAGTGTTTCGAGTGGGAGAGACTTGGTGAAGAGCTTGTGGACATGAAGGAAGAGAAAGGGATGTCTATGCCTAAAGCTACTCCTTTGCGAGCCAAGTGCAAGTCACGTGTCGTGGCCCATAAAATGATACAGTCTATGTAATTATTTGTGTAGAACCCTATAGTGATGGTTCATCAAGAATTTCGGAAATATAAGTATTGAGTGGTTCAAATTAAAAGTTTTGTTTAATAAGCGTCTTTGATGCAGAGCTATATATGTCAGTGTGTTGGGTGAGAGTTGGAACAGGGTTTATTAACGTCATTTTATACTTAAGTTATAACTGCATTTCTGCAATTTTAGTTAATTCTTTTTATAAATGATCCTCAATTTTTAAATATTAAAATAAATAAATTTGGACATGTTTGTGGGGTTTGTCATTTAAGATATGTATAAAGATCACATGTATATATATAAGTCAATTTTTAGATCTCCGACCTCTAAAATATAGACATAAAAATTTTGAGGATTTTCTAACGGCATTTCTATCCCTACTCTATTTTTCATTTTAAAATAGAGTTTAGAGTAAAAATGTTTCAGTGACATTCTATTTTCTATTTTATAATAAAATAAAAATGAAGTTATTCTATATGTAGAGTAAATCTAAAATACCACTACAGTAGAATTAACTCTATTATTGAATTATTCTATTTTGAGATAGTATCAGATGGAGATATGATTTGATTAAATCTAGTGGTATATTATATATTCAATGGACCAATACTAGCGATAAAGCAGAAAAGTACAAATCGTCGATCGTGTATTCAGCTCTGTAAAAAATAATTTCATTGATACCATCATTGATGAATATTTAGTTGAAATAAAATGTCCTCGTGATTAATCAACCAACCGCAAGTGAAAATGACTAGAAACCAACCGGAGCGATGACAAATACATTTAAAACAGATAAAAACAAGAACGGGAAACAATTAATATTGGTCCCATCTCTCATTCTCTCCATTTATATCACACAACAACACTCCCATAGTCCCATTTTCAATATTGGATGATTGTAGTAGGAGGCACGTATTCATTCGCTTAATCGTGAAATGAGCAATGTCAAGTCTATTGAATCATCCACAATTACTAGAGACAACGATATAAAACACTGATATTCAAATGGAATCCTCAAGTAATCGTCGTTTGTTGAAAGAAGAAGATTTGGTGAACATGGACTACTTGAACAATGTTGTAAGTTATGACCGAGACTACTAAGGTTTTTTTTTTTAACTCAACATCCATTTTTCATTAACCAAACCACAAGTGTTTCAACCACACTCACAACAAATAGATTAGTATTTTACCACAAAAAAAAAACAAATAGACATCTAGAATCACTACATGAGTTCTACACTATCAATCTAAACCTTTGTTGCAATTTTAATCCCTAATGAACTTTACACTCTTCTTACGACACAAGAAGAGCCGGTTCTTAGACCACCTAATTGAACCACAAGAGAGAAAAGCATCGTACACCACTGATGATAAAGCAATAACCAAGTTACATATTTGATCTTAGCATTGGTCTCTTTAAGGTAAGAGTGGAGCACGGGACCAACACTAAGGCTTTAGTTACCCTGTAGCACCACTTTTTTTCACTTTCCATTTTCTAATAGTGTCATCGGTGGGTTTGATGTTCCACGAGATACAGCCGTGTTGGTTAATTTGTGGGCTATACATAGAGATCCAAGTGTGTGGAATGATACTTGCGTCGTTTAGGCTGGAGAGATCAGTTTAGAGTTTAGACATTATTTTAGCAAGATGATGTGGTTTGGTTCTAAGGAGATAATTGACTTTGCTCTAAGAGAAACCCCAACAATGGTTTCTCACCATATTTCGGATTGGTTTTCCCGTAATTTCAAAATACACATAACTAAATAAAAATATTTACATATACATAATATACTTGAGATTTTTTTTTGGTGAGAAATCATTGTTGGAATTGCTCTTAACACACAAAAATAAAATTGCTTCAAACATTATTGTTCAATCTCCCACACAAAGAGAAGATGGACTTCACCCCAATTTCTATTGTGTTTTTTCTGCTTATCTTGATCTCAATCAAGTTCTTGTTCAAAAACTCAACTCGGAAACTGAATCTTCCACCTTCTCCTGCTTACTCTTTACCGTTCGCCACCTCCATCTCCTCAAGCACCCTGTCCAGCGAACACTCCTCTCCCTCTCTCAATCACTCGGGAATACTCCCATCTTCCACCTCCGCCTAGGCAACCGCCTCGTCTACGTCGTCTCCTCACATGCCATAGCCGAAGAATGCTTTACAAGAAACGATGTAGTTCTTGCCAACCGTCCAGAGCTCATCATGGGGAAACACGTCGCCTACAACTCCACCATCATGATTGCAGCTTCCTACGGGGACCACTGGAGGAACCTTCGCCGCATCGCTTCCGTAGAGATATTCTCTTCTCATAGGGTTAGTACCTTCGTGTCTATCCGTAAAGATGAGATCCGACGGCTCATAACA